CCTACATCACTGAGGGTGACATTTGGGTCATTGCCTTCAGCTCTTCACCTCTGAGCAACCGCTGTTTCTGTAGGGGGGAGTGTACACCCATTCCTCCACAGCATCTTTTAATCTTCCTGCTCAGTTTGGCAGAGGAATGGGAATCTAAGTTTCCCTTGCTTTGTGCAGGTGGTTGGATCAGGGACTTCCAGAGGTCCCTTCCAACCCATATTACTCTACAATGCTTTATCAAGTGAAAACAGTTATTTAGATAATACAAGAGACACCAGTTCTCCCAGAAAAGTTGGCTTCCTTGGCTCCACTGGTCACAGTGTAACTGTTCATTTATTTTCCTCTGCTTTCTCCAAGTGATGCTTGCTTTTGGTGTCTTCATAGCTGTGTTTTGATGCTTCAGGCAGATGTATGCATTACTGCATCCCCTCCTCTTGCACCGGTTGTTTACAATTGCTGCCCATGAAAATGTATCTTCCAGAAAAGGTGCGTCGTGTACAAGGAGCTGCTCCTTATACCTGCTCTCTCAATATATGACCATTGTGAAGAAAAATAATTCCAGTAATTAATTAATGTCTCCTGTGAAGAACATTTGGTAGACGTTCTTTGTTTCAGCATCAAGGAAACCATACGATATTGCAGGAACATCCCTGCGGTCAGCTCCAAGTACTGCTGATAATACAATGTCTTTAAAAATGACTCATTCCTGTTAGCTTTAGAGGTCTGCCCAACAGGCAGTGAATTTCAGCAGGCAGTGAAGGTTGCTTCACTGCAGATTTGTTTGCTTCCAAATCCTGAGATCCTTTTCTTGGTGTGAAGAAGTCCTCATCTCTGTTTCACTCTCTGCGATGCTCATACTGCAGCAATGAGAAGGACACAGGCTCCATGCGTAATATTAGACCCTTATCTTCACCAGAGACCAACTAAGCCTCCCTGAAGACGTTAAAGATTTGAGAAACTGAAGTCTCCTAGCAGATTTGTCTGCGCTTTCAATAACATCAGCATTGAAACAGCCCTTTCAGTGTGGTCACCAGCAGTCCTGCTTCACTCCGAGATGGTCCCTCCCATCCCGTCCACCTGGAAGTCACCTCCTCGGTGACCTCAAGGTAACAGAAGACCCAGCACACAAGTGCTGGGGTGAAAACCTCAGCATAGGTCTCTGATCCTTCAGCTTTTGCTGCCATGCATTCAAATAGTAACCTTGTTATCCTATCATACTCATTAAATTTACCTGCTCCCAAACCTCTCGCTTTAGGCAATAGTTCTTGCAGAATTACTAAATGGCGATTCATTGACATGTTCAGTCAAGTCACTTCCATTTTGGCTACGGTAATTTCTGTGCCCATATTTATGCACAACACCAGCAATTGTATCTCTGACTCATCCATCCTTCCATCCACCGCTGCTTCTCACCTATCCCATGATGTCCATTTTTATTCCCCATCAGTCCTGTCCGTATATCACCCTAGGGGTATGTAAGCCCTCAGCACTTTAAGGGACGTCTGCACAGCCTTGTTCCTTATGTGAATTGCTTTGTTGTCCCATCAGTGCTGCCCGACATCATGCTTACCAAAGCTGAGGGCAAGCTCTCATTTTATTTTGGGCACCATCTACATTTTCTTTGATATCTGCCTCATGCTCACTACATTACCATCTTATTTCAGCTTTCTTCTTAATTTGTATGATTACAAACTGCATTCAATTTCTCTTTTAAAATCCTCTATAAGAGATAACTTAACTTCACATCTGGAAATTCTCATGCCCACACTCCTGCACAGTTCAATAGTAGCTGTCATTGATTTGAGCAGCTAGGCATGAAGCCACCCTGTTTCTCCCCTGGTTACTTTGCAAGTTCCAGGTAGTTTTCGTAGCCTTCACATGAAATCAAGTAGATCCCTCTTCCACACCCCGTGATCTGCTCTCCACATTGTACATTGTAATGAATGATGCCTAATCTCACGTTGTCTGTAGTGCGTCCTGTCCTCCACCTTCAGCTTTCCACAATAACCAAAACACTTTCAAAGCTGCTTTGTGGTCTTCCCCTTTTCTCATCCAGGCAACTATTCCTGCCTCCCATGTCTTTACACATGAAAAAAGGAGAGAAAAAAGGCTTATTCCCCCTAAAACTGCCCAAATTCCTCTTTGCTAGTTAATCTATCTGTTCTTTGAGTCCATCAATTACTTTATGTATATGATATGGTTATATATAATTTTTTTTCTTACAGGTCTTGCTTGGCATTCAGTAACTGCACTATGGGAGAATATTACGATGAAGTAATAAGAAAAAATCTACCTTGTCTACTCAACATGCCATCTTTAAAGCCACTTCTTGAACTCTGCGGCAACGGTGTCGTGGAAAAAGAGGAAGAATGTGATTGTGGCAGTGATGAGGTTAGCAATTAAATATTTCACTGCAACCTACATGTTAGAGTAGTGTTAACAAAACTGTGGTGCTTTTGCAACCATAAAAGCTCCCTGACTCATGGGAAGAAATGATCTTTGAAGTGTTATACATTTAAACAAGCCCACTGGCTTCCACTTCTGTGAATTCCCTTGAAGTGGGGATTTTCCCAAATATGGCTTTATTTATGGGCAAAATATGCATGATATGTGTAAACATATACAGAGCATATCTAGAGGTAAATTCAGTTTTTCTTCCATGGCTACGGAGGGACCTTTTGTGGCAGACTGTGCAGAGCTAACAGTGGACTCTGTCTGCAAGTGTCTGACAAGGAGTCACACTGTTGGGACAGGGATAAGACCTCTCCACACCTCATCCACAGGGAAAGGTGTTTTCCTTCTGGCTGTACTAACGTTTGTAAGAATGAGGGGTCTGAAGAAAAGTATCTGAACGGTGCTGCAGTCAAAGTGGGAGACTGCAGAAGGGACGTGTCTTTGCCTCCAAGCCATCTATATACAAGGACATTATGAGCACTTGCATCTTCCTGTCCATAAAATGAGTTTTTCTATTTCTGTTCTTTCTTCTGTTATATTTACCCTGAAGTCCATGAAAAAAGTGTTTTTCTGAAGTACTTGCATGTTGGTATCTTCGCAGCTCTAATTCCGGGATCCATGCAGTTGCGACACTTTGGAAAGTTTGAGTTTTCTAGTGGAAACTCTTGTTTGTGTTTTGTGTAATCATTATTTGTACAAAGTTTCTGTAGCTTTGATGAAACTCAGCCTTTGCACTGACATTTCCCACGCAGAGTGATTTGCACATGTTTGATATCCAGGCTTGGGTTGAACATCCTGCACCTTGCTGATAAATAGGATTCACTTTAAGAAATTACGTTAGGAAAAACCCAACCCTACCACCTGCAGCCCCCAGCCCCCCAGTCTCTCCAACAACTGGTCCCAGACCCCTTCTCCTCAATCAGGCACGGGGCTCAGCCATACAAGCATCCTGAGCAGGAGACCCTTTTTATCAGCCCCTTTTATCCCCCTTCTTTTCCATTTTCCCACAATTCTTCCCCCCCAATCCACCTTAATCTCTCCCTGCTTTGGGTCCTTCCCCTAACCATCCCCCACAAAGCTTTGCACATCCCCACATTTGCCTTAAAACATCCCACAATAAGTTTTACACAATCCTACGTTCCCTCTCAAATACCACATTATAAGCTTGGTCTCTTCAGGAGACCCGAGAAAATCTTGGTTTCCATCAGCAACCTGAGAGCTCTGGTCTTTGCTAATGTCCCTGTTATCTCCTCTTCATCATCATTGTGTGATCAGTTCATTATTCTTCCCATCTCCTTTCCTTGTTTTTACGCCAAAAAGCCATTAACCAGCTCTCCTTACAAAGCAGATACCCTTACATCACAGGTATCCTTAAAATTTGAGCAACTAATTTTGTTTATGTGACAAAGTTCAAAGTCCACCACCTCTAGCACCTTGAATGATTTGGGATTGGGAATTTGAACTTTTAAGGAAATGGTGGATCATTGCTGAAAGAGATTTAAAGGGAAGGAAGGAAAGTATGAAAGAAGGGGAAAAAAAAGTCTAGAAAAGGAGACTAATCTCTCCCATTGTGCTCAGAAGTACTTTGGAAATATTAATGAACCTATTCTTCAAGCACCCCTGTGAAGCAGGTAGGTTGATTAACAGAGGAGATGAGATGGTAGTATTAGTGTTGAGAGAAAAACGCAAATTGTTTTAAAAGTGTCTACACGAGGCATATTTCCCCCCAAGGCAGAACTCCAGAATGTCCAGGATTTGAAGAGCAGCAGAAAACAGCAGTTTTCCCTTAACTTCCTTTAATTATGGGCTCAAGCTGCGCCAGGGGAGGTTTAGGTTGGATATTAGGAAAAATTTCTTCACGGTAGTCAAGCATTGGAACAGGCTGCCCAGAGAGGTGGTGGAGTCCCCATCCCTGGAAGCATTCAAAAAACGGGCAGAGGTGGCACTTTGGGACATGGTTTAGTCTAGTCTACCCTTGATTGGTTTAGTGTGGACTTGGTAGTGTAGGTTAATGGTTGGACTGGATGATCTTAAAGGTCTTTTCCAACCTAAACGATTCTATGATTCTATGATTCTGTGTCTCTTAAGCTAGAAAAGATGATCCAAATAAGAAACTCCCATGCCAAGATGGTACAGCATTATTTACTTCCAGGCATGCCTCCAAGAAGGATGCTGCTTCTCCTCCAGCTGCTTGCTTGCACCAGGGGCTTCTTGTTACAGAGGTGAATGCTGTCACAAATGTCAGGTAAGTTGTAACAGCAACAACTGCTATTGGCTTTGTAACGTAGGGTAAACTAATGACTTAATTGTTTTTCAAAGCTGTTAGGTGTTATGTTCATTTCCTGCATTTCTCAGTATATCTGGTGAGAAAATACGCATAAACTTGACTGGAAAGCGCTCACGCTGAGGTAGAAAACAA